TTCAGTGCTTATGTTATAAAGAGAAATGCTGAAATTTATGAGAGTAAGTGTCCAACTAAAAAGTTTTTTAAAGGGTTGAGGATGTAGCTCTGTGATAGAGTGCTTGTCTAGCAAGTACAAGGCCCTGGGTTGAAGTTAGGGACAAAACTCTATAAAACAGAAAATAAATTTGCAACAGAGAAGATTTTAAAAGCTGAAAGTAGTTCTTTAAAAAATCTAGGAAGAGACAAATCCACAGAAGCATTGCTAAAGAAAAAATGAAAGCATAAAGAAGTAATATCGTAAATGAAATGAGATAGAACTACAGTTAAAGCAGAGATTTAAAAGATAACAGGGAACCATTCTTGAGGATGGTAAGCTAATAAATCCAAAAACTTAGACAACATGAACAAATGCCTAGAAAATTATAATTTATGAAAACTTAAAAAGAAATACCTTTAGGTCTAGTCAGAGTTTCCACTAAAGCAACTGAAGCAGTAGTTACACATCTATAACTCTCACATGAAATAGGCCTAGACAGTTTTACAGGTGAGCTCTACTAAAATTTCAAGGTATACATCATCCCAGACTTACACATACTCTTCAAGAGAATGGAAAAAGTAAAATTTTATGAGGCCAGAAAAATATTAAAATCAGACAAGGACACTATCAGAAGGGAAAATTATGGGTTCACTTTGGCCATGAATATAGAAGCTGAACTCCTAACAAGAGTATTAGAAAACCAAATTCAGCAATAAGTAAAAAAACATAATCTACCATGACCAAGGTGGGTTTATTTCAGAAATGGAAATGTATTTTAACACTAAAATATCAATAAATGTAATTCATTCTGCCAACAGGTTAAAAGAGAGGTAGGAAAAGTATTTTTAAAGTTCAAAACCCATATGATTTTTAAAACTTTTAGCAAATTAGAAAAAGAAGGAAATCTTAACTTGTTAAAAATTAATCTACAAACACAAATAGCAAGTATCAGTCTTCACTGAAAAGTATTAGAAGCGCATCCTTTAAAACCAAGAACAAGGTAAGAATGCCTATAATCAATACTGTTGACATTATTATCCTAAAGGTCTTAGCTAGCAGGATTAGTAAATAAAAAGCTTAAAGATCAACCAGGAAGAAACAAAATGCAAATGACTCCCAAATAATATGACTATGTACCCAAAAAATCTATGGTTTCCTATGGTTTACACTGTAAAACCATAAATAAATTATTAGAAAAAATAAGGAAGTTTACAGCAATGAGTCTGGATATGAGGTCAATATTTAAAAATTCAATTGCATTTCTATATGCTACCAACAACTACTAGAAAATTTACAGTACTTATACATTTAACTAAAGATGTGTATGTCTTATATACAGAAAATTATAAAATTTTACTAATGATTAAAGGACACAAATAAAAAGGCATACCATATTCATGGATATGAATGGCCCTGTACCATAAAGTTATATAGATTTATATATTAAATTTATATAGATTTATATATTAAATAACATTTCAGCCAAAATTCTGATAGGGCTTTTGTTTTGTGGAACTTTTCAAACTAACTCAAAGTTAAGACAGAAAAACAAGGAGGCAAGAATAGTCTAAAAACACCTGAAAAAGAATATAATTTGTCTCGCCAGATATTAACTATAAAGCTACAATATTGAAGCCACCAAGGACAAATTTAACTCACAGAACATTAAAGAGAGACACATGCATACATAGAAGTTGATTTATGGCAATATCAATAGAAAAAAGGGAGCTAATCAATGGAAGATAATAAGGAAAACTAAAATTAAGTCCCAATTACACATCAGATACAAAAACAAATTTGCTCCACATTAAATTCATAGGTTTGAGAAAAGTAAAACTTAGAAAACATATGGGGTAGATCAAATATATTTGATTTGCCCCTCTAAATCCACCTCCTAAATTCTCCATCTGTTTCTCTTTCCTATGGATAAGAGCCACCTCCACCAGCCTCCTCTGCCTGAGGGTTGGGCTTGGGGATGGAGAATCCTGAGAAGAGACCAGAGACAGGTGGGGTAGAATTTAGTTGGCCTATCTTCTTCCCTGGCCTCCCCTACACGGTTGCTTCAGCCACCCAACCCCTTCCCCTTCTGAAGACTGTCTGTATAGTCTTCCTTTCCAGCTTCCATGGACATTTCCTCCCTCTTCCTTTGGGACCAAGGGTTAAAAACATCTCTTTTAATAATTCCTCTGAACTCTGCCCTCACCTCTGGAAAAGGTCCATTAACTTTCTCCAATGTGCACTACCTTTCCCATTGAGCTCCCGACTAATAAAGTAATTTTTGCCGGAGGCGCTCTTAAAATAGGTCTTCACATTGGGATTCTTGTTTTCCAGGAGCTCTAGGATAATCACCTTGGGTGTGTGTGTGTGTGTGTGTGTGTGTGTGTGTGTGATGGGGAGAGAGCAATCCACAGCACTGGGGATTCTATACAAATCCACAGCACTTAGGGTGATAAACAATGACACAGGTGAGGAGCAGGGAGATCAGGGTGTGGCCACAGTAGTGACTGCAAAGATTGTGAGGGCAGGTAGCATCTTCTCTTGGATCTTCAGAGCACGTACAGGAGAAAACAGAAATTAAAAGGTATAAATATTCAGTTAAGAACATGGACGTGCAAGACTATGTGTTCAATCTCCATCTCTCTCTCTCACACACACAGGCATGTGCACACACACTTGTGTAAAAGAACGTGTGGAGAACCAGAAGGTCCCAGGAAGCCTAGGGTATGATTTTAGGGTTCCACATTCAAAGAGCCATTGAATGCTCAGCATTCACTTCTGGGTCAGACAGTTAGGAAGATGGAGAAGAAGCAGGCCTGGCAGACATGAAATAGACACAGCTGTAACGTTGAACTCTGACCCCTCCTCTGAAGAGATGACCCTCCCACAGTCCATAGTGAGAAACCACCTCCTCTGTGAAAAGTCTTCTCTCAGCTGCCCCTGGGACCACTGCCTCATAGTGGATGCCCTTTGCCTTCAAGACCCGCCCACCACCTGGCCACCTGAGCCTGTGAGATGTCTACACCCGTCAAAGTGACCTGGACAGCAGAGGCACAGGTCCTGCATGGGAGGGGCTGGCCAGTGTGTAGGGGCAGGAGTCTGGACAGAGTATGGGAGTGGCTTCTACAGTCAGACAGCAAGGGAGACAAAGTACAGTATAAATCAGCCAGATACACAAACATGTGGATGTGGGTGCTTCCTCACATTCAGGTTATTTAGTATGAACAGGGCTTGTGGACAGTCTATAGTCCTTTTCTTATTTTTTGAGACAGTGTCTTGCTAAGTCACTAAGGTACCCAGGCTAGGTTTGAACTTGCAATCCTGCTGCCTTAGCCTCGAATGCACAAAAACCAAGAGTTGAGTGCTTGATACGCTGAGCTGCTCTGGGATGACTTAGTAAACTCCGAGGGATGGACTCACTCCCAGAGTTTCTGAGCAAGTAGGTGAGCAGTGGGGCCCCAAAATCTGCATTTCTAACAAGTCCCAAAGCTGCTGCTGCTGGTCCAGTGGGAACTCAGGGAAGTGGGAGTAACGGAGGGATCTATTGATGTCTACTACACTCCCCTGATCAATAAACACATGAAGAGATGCTCAACATTATTAGCCATTAAGGGCATGTAAATTCAGGCCACACTGTGCTGCCACTCCATGCCCACTGGGTCAGGTGTCGTGTAAAGTACAGACAGTGACAAGTGCTGACAGAGAGGTGGAGAGATGAGGACATTTGGCCACTGCTGGTGGGAATGGGAAATGGTGGCGTTACCTCCACCTGCAACAGGTGGCAGGTCTTCAAATTGTAAACACAGGGTTACCGTATGACTCAGCAATTCTACTGCCAGGTACAATCCCCAGTGCAATATAAATATTAGCCCATACAAAATCCTGTGCATAGCTGCTCACAGCAGTGTTTTCACAATAGCCAAAAAAGTGGAAACAACCTAAATGTCAGCTGACTGCTGAATGGACAAAAAACACCAAACCCATATGCTGGTATATTCATACAGTGGAATATTATTTGCCAATAAAAGAATGAAATACTGATAAATTCAACAACCTGGGTGAAACTTCAAAACATGATAAGTAAAAGCCAAATTTCAAAAATCCACATATGACATGGATCCATCAATGGAATGTCCAGAATAAGCAAACCCATAGAGACAGGATGTAGATTAGCCATGCCAGGGGCTGAGGGAGAGGGATGGAAGGGGGACTGACTACTACTAGGTACGCAGTGGTGAAAATGGCCAAAACTAATTTTAATGATGGCTGTATAACTCACGAATATACTAAAAACTACTGATTTGTACATTTTAAATAGTTGAGTCATGCAGTATGTAAATTATAGCTCAACCACACTATTTAAAAAGAGAAGGACTGGGAATGTGGCTCAGTGGTAGAGCTCTGGTCTAGAATGCAAAAGGCACTGGGTTCAACTCTCAGGACCATAAAGCAAGGAGGGGAGGGATCAGGGGAGAGACAGGGACAGAGAGGGAGTGGGGGAGAGGGAGGGAGGGAGAGAGAGAAAATTGAAATATACAAGTATATCAAAGCTATATCCCCGTTTTAATCACATTATAGTTTAGATCTAGAATGTCTCCCTAAAGCCTCATATGTTCAGAGGTTGGGCTTTTAGACAGCGATTTGATCGTGGGGTACAATACTCATCAGTACATCAACTGAGGAATCTATAGTTAAATATGCAGTTAGAAGGTGGGGCCTGATCAGAAGATACGGGTCATTAGAGGGTGTATCTCCCTCCCCGGATCTTCCCTTTACTCTCTGCTTCCTGACCACCATGATGGGTGTGTGTATCAGATAACGTTTTAAGGACAGAGGAAAAACAAGCATGGTGTCAACTCTGGCTCTGCCAATTTTGTTACATGAGGTAGAGAGAAGGAACTAACTATGGAGTGGCTATAAGGAGTCAAGGAGATCAAGGCCTCTAGGACAGTTCCCTGCCCACTAAGAGTTTGCAAACTTGCCATTGCCACACCATAATCCTCCTCATTTTTATCCTCATCCTCATCATTATTTTCCTTTGGTAGAAGTGATCCCCCACTGCCCACACCTATAGTTTCACTGGCACCTCTCCTAGACAACTTGCCCATTCTACCAATAAGGCGATTACTGATGCAGACATCACCCTTACTGAAGAGCTTCCTTGAGACCAGCTAGCCTGTCTAGGCACCTGGACCAGAGCCTGTTCTCATGAAATATGGCTTAATCTGATCAACATTAAGAGGTAGTTTCTTGGAATAATGCAGCATTCTCTTTCTCCCCCTCTCCCTTCCTTATTTCCTAATCATTCATAAACTAGTAGAAGTACACTATAGGCATTGTGATATATGAAGATACACTAGGTTGCCCCAACCTTCCTATTTCAAACTCTTTCTCCTTTACCTGGGTTGTAGAACCTTTAAAAAAAAAAATCACTTGATTTCCCAGACTCCCTTGCAGCTAGTATAGCCATGTGGCACAGTTCTGTCCCATGAGATGTAGGCACAAGTTGCTGGGGAAAGTTATTTTTCCTTAATGAAAAGGAAAAAGTCTTCACCCTTCTACTTTTTGCCTTTAGTCCTGCCACCTGTCTGGCACTTGGACATGAGACCTCAAAGTACACCAGCTACCATGCTGCCATGAGGAAATGACCATTAGAACAGAGACCTCCTGCTGAGACTAACAGGGTAGAAAAAGGAGATACCACCTACACACCAGCCATGGATAGCCATAACCAGACTTGGTGTGTGGGAAAGAAAAAAAAGAGCTCCACTTTTCTTAAGCCACTATCTTCTGGTGTTTGCATCTGAATACATTTCTAGTGTTATTTACAATGCACTGAAGTTGTTGACACATGATGTATGCACACAGCATCATTACTCCCCAACAGAAAGCACATTATCTGCTATAACAAGGCAGCGTTTAGATTACTGGTTACAGTAAATTGCAGCAATTTGATAACTTCAAATTTTGGCTCTCATGGCAGAAAGCAGGCTATGACTCCAAAACTCCACAAACACCCAAAATTCGGTGACTCCTCCAAAATCCACTATGGAACCAACCCAGGGAAAATATGGGAGAGGATACTAATAATAGGGGTGGCCACTCACTTTCCCCCAATCTCTGAGCTAGTGGTTACAATGTGGACTTTAGCGTTAGGTGTCCACAAGGGAAGACAGCTCTCCCTGGGGTCAGCATGAAGTGTGATGGATCATCAGTTAAAGAGACCAACTTTATGTCCACACTAAAAACAAAGACCCTTTCACAGAAGGCAACATTTACCCTGCGATCCTCACAGTAGCCAGCTGCAGAACTCTGATCTGCAGTGATGACTGCAATCATATTTCATAGATGAGCGATTTGACATCCAGGGACGTTAAGCAGTTCACAAACTGCTGGTCAGCGTGCAGGCAAAAGTTCTGGGATTTTACCTAAATCTTCTGCTTATGTTTTGGCTACTGGCTTTATCTGCAAGAGGTACTAGATCAAAATAGTCCTATAAAATGAAAAACACATCTGTCTTTATGCACGATGGGGAAATCTGGCTAATCTGAGGTAAGCAGAAGGAAAAAAATATAAGCCTACCTTTTGCTTCCCCACAATGCTCCCTTTTGTTCCCCTAGAATGTCTGTTCTTTAATAAGACACTCAGCATTTGTGGAATCTGTCCTGAGTAATGCCCAGAGCAAGAAATGGGAAAATGATAAAAATTTAGTACCTTGAGATATAACATTTTCATTTGGGAATGAAAGCAAACATTTGAAATCTACATGAAAAAATGCATTTGTAGAGAGCTGCTCCATGCTCTGTTCAGGTCTTTCCACCATAGACTATCTATCATTAGCCTCCAAGATGCTAACATAGACCAACTGACATGGCCTAAGGTCTTACTTTCTCTTAACTTTACAGGGGAATCTTGAATTAATTTCAAGCAGGAGGTTCCTCTTTCTCATCAGTTGTAAAAGTGGGATGAGTCCCACTGAGCCTATCAGGCAGGCAAAAGGCTGAGGTGGGGCCTCCCATGACCTGTTGAAAGGGGGGCGCTGGAACCTGTACCTCACTTGGAGCCAGTAACCAAGCAGGCCAGGGACATCCTGGCTACAAATTGTGTGGCTCATTAGTTTTTAGTCTGGCTTAACTTTTCCCTGTGCCATCCAGGGCTTTTCAACAGCTACACTTTTCCCAAAAAAAAAAAAAAAAAAAAAAAAAAAAAAAAAA